ATCTGTCCCCACACACCCAATCAAGTGGCCTTCTCCACGGTTTGTATGAACTCCTATATGCCTCCATCCTCTCCTTCCATCTCAGGGTGGGAATGCTAGCCACTTCGTTAGTGCTCCAAGTCAACTAGGGCAGTCTTTCCCAACCTTCAGAGGTATTTGGACCACCACTTCCAGAATTCCCATCCAGCAGGGCCACTGACTAGGAATTCTGGGTGCTGCAGTCCAAATGCACCCAGAAGGCACAAGACTAGGGAAGGCTGATCTAGGGAGCTGACTATAGTTCTGAACACTCTGCAGAATAAGAAGTTACCTCTATGCTGTGTGGCGCAAATATAGCACCACTCAGATTTGGCACATTTATAACGCTTGTTTTACAAACAACTAGCCCACCTTTTTATACTTCTAGGCAGGTTGCCATATGAAAACAAGGTTACAATGAAATATGAAGAGCCATCCAAAAGGAGAAGAGAAAACACCCAAAATAGCAAGCTGAAGTCAAAGTAAAGTAAAATAATATTGCTGCATCACATTTAAATCCCACTTTTAACCTTGTGTGGAGCCCAAGGCGCTTTATGAGTTTCTCTTCCATACCATTTTGATCCTCACAACAACCACCCTGTGAGGTAGGTTAGGCTGAGAATAAGTGACTGGCCTAAAGTTAACCAATGAGCTTCACAGCCAAGTGGGAATGAGAACCTGACCTCCAAGGTCCCCAGTCCAACACAGCAACCATCATGCCGCACTGGACCTTTGCAAGCCCTCTTAAAAGCCAGAAAGGGGGTGGGTGAAGGAGACGAAGCTTCAGACAGTGGAACAATCCTATTGTTTCTATTGCTCTTTTAACGCTGACTCAGTTTCTACTGTGCCGTTTATGGTGGCATGCCACCTTGGGAGAACTCCTGCTCAGCAACGTGGCCAGCCAACAAACAAACACTACCAGTCCTTAATCCATGTGACCCAGGCATGCATGGCAGGCCTTTGGAGGAGTACCGCTGCTATGGCAGATGGTGCAGAGAGAGACTGCCTCTGAATTACGCAGGACACCGCCTGTAAAAAGATGGTTGCCACAGATCCTTGCATTTGGGCTGGGAATTAATTTCCCTCTCAGGTTAGATTCTGTCCTGTGGTCTTCAGCCCTCCTGTGTGCATTCTATGGAGGCAGTTCGCTGGAACAGTTCAAGCATCCAGCTAGAGCTGGGGCGGCCCAGGCTCAGCTCACCAGGTAACGCTGGAAGAGTCACCGTGTCCCAGCCTAACTCACCCAACAGGGCTGCCGCAGAAACAGAGGGGCAGTGGGAGCACAGCACCCGGAGATCCTTAGAGGAAGAACGGGGTGGAAATGCAATCGATGCATCTCTTCGGTGGGTGGCCATTTGCAGGGCTTCCTCTTTGCCATCAGCCATGCTGTGTGGCTGGAAAGGTCCCTGCCGGGGTGGGAAACCCTGGAGCGGTGGGAGTCACCATCAGCCCTGCTGTGCAGAATGCACAGGGTTAGCCTCTTCTTCCCATGCCTCCAATTCTATATTCATTAGGAGATAGCTAGAGACCCGCAACCAGCAAATAATTAAAGACATCCCTGCTCATTCGCATCTAGGGCAGAAGCGACCGAACAAAAACAGCCTTTAAGTTTTAAAATACGCCTTCTCAGGAGATCAAGCTTTCTTACAAGTGTAATTCCAGTATGACCACATTTCTACTGAAAAGTTTTTTCCTGGTGTTTAAGAACAGGAGTTAACTGAAAGCTGCACCCACTTAGACCAAGAAGCAAAGAGGATCACTTTTGTGTTTGTTTAAAGGTCTTGAAAAGCTGCACCCTAGATTCAGAGACAAATTCTATGCAATCACCAGCTGTGAGAGCCACATGCTCAGGACTGTGACACTCCATTTACAAGAAAGCATATCTATTTCAGCTACACACCCCAAGCACAGAAGAAAGCCAGGATGAAAAGCACACAGAAGTACCTTAAGTAACAAAGCAAGGTGGTAGTCCTTTTGAGGTCATGAAGGAAGAAACAGGAAGGAGGGCAGTAAAGCAAAAGAGAAGAAGATTTTTATTGGACAGTGGCAACAAGCGGCAATGATCAAGACATGGCTACAACAGCTCTCTGCAAAGCATTGCTACCTAGGCCATCTTATGGCTGGAGTGTTGTCCCACTTTAAAGCAAGTGAAAGTGAAAATAACCAGCCATTAGTACCCCACCTATGAAGGTACTGAACCCCTGTGATATTGTAGACGTTCTTGACTATAAATAACTACCATTATTTGCTTCACTCTCTGAATCCAACAAATTATATTACTTAGTGACAGCTATCTTCATTTCTCATAAACAGGGCAATTCTCATGAGATACTGGCAGGGAGACACAGGTACAACAGTAACTCGTGGTTTAATTACTTTTCTTGGTTGCAAGCTACTTCTCTTGTCAATCTCCTTTCAGCCTAAAGTTGTCATATGGCATGCAAACCCAGACACTAACCAAACACACATATAACAATTGCAAACTGTGGACACAGCAGGCCCACAATTAGTTGCTTAGTGTTATGCTGGTTCATTAACCCATATTAACCTTTAAAGGTTTGGGTTTATGTTATGTAGCGACCTGATAAAAGTCGAATATTCAAGAAAGCTCCAGAACACATGGCATTAATTAAGCTGCAATCTGCTGCTGTTACTTGCAATCAGGCCTGTACCATTGTTTCCAGCTTAACAACTGAAAGTTAATATAAGAATTGAAGGTTACAGTCAGGCTATTTACCTGTAACCATCATTCTTTGAGTGGGCATCTGTGCATTCACACATATGGAGCCAGTTGTCAGGAAGATTCTACAACGAAGTGTTCAACTGGGTGGGAGCCGCTCCCCTTCTCTTCCATGTTTACATGGGAGAGGCTCCCAGCCATTCCCTCAGTTCTGTGGAGACCACCAGCGGTCCCAGGACTGAGGGAGGAATGTTGTGCCATTCCAGTCTGGCCTTGTGAGCCCCTGGCAAGCAAGGAGGCAATCATCAGAGGGGCCACACCAGTGGCAGGCCGTATGGATGTACAGATGATCAGCTGACGAACAACAATTACAGGCAAGCAAGCTGAATTTCTTCTTCATGGTCTCTGTGCATCACACATATGGGTAGCTGGCAAGCTTGTGTCAAGGACGCAGGGATGGTGTCTTCACTGGAGGACAAAGGTCGGCCCTTGTGTGGGCCTCTAGCCCTCAGTGAATGTTGAGGGCATAAACCATGTGGCAGCTCTGCATAGTTCTTGCAGGGGGATCTCTGAGAGGAGGGCTACGGCTACGGCCTTTGTCAGGTAGACAGAGACCTTGAAGGAGCCATGAGTTGAAGGCTGGACAGCTTATAGGGCAGTTTTCATGAGCTGGTTTGCCAATCTCTGAGCACAGAATGAGGACAGAAACACCTCACACCTCCCCTTCCTCTCAGCACGCTTGCAATCGAAAAGGAAGGGAGGAAATGGGCAGGAGCCCCTCCCATGGATGCAAGGAAGAGGAAGGGGAAGGGCTCCCACTTACCCATAGAACCTTCCCAGCAATAGACTCCACGAAGGAGCAGAGCCCATTTGTGTGATGCACAGAAACCACGAAGAAGAACTACGGGTTGTGTAATCCACAAACACCCCATAGTGTCCATGTTAGCGCTGTGAGTTTATTTTTTTCAGCGAAGAAACTGTGAGCACGCCAACTGAAAATTATGCAGAGCTGAAATGACTCTTGCATGTTCCACAAAACCTGGCAAATCACAGGTTGATTAGCTCATGATTTACTGCTACTACATATGACCTGGGCAACCATATTCTCAAAGCATGTCTTGGAAACAGACTCTTGGCTATATGGGGACCTGGTTTCAAGCAAATGGGTGCAGGATCTCACAGTAGATAACTTAAAATGCTAATGGTGGAACATTGAGTAGAAAGCTCTTAAAATGATTAGTGGTCATTGTCAATGACTAATATTAGATATTACTGACTTCTCATCTTGTCATCCTTTCTCTCTCTGAGACATAAGTATTTTTCTGACTCTTTCTGTCTCACATGTGATCCTTCAATAAGTATGATCCTCCTTTTGCTTCTGCATCCTTGAATGCTACATTTACACTGAGCTGAGCTGGCTGTTCATGCAGACGCAGACACTTGCAGTGCAATGTGTCTCATTACAAGTCTGACGGAAGCAACAGCTCGTGTGCGAAAGCATCCCTAGAAGTAATTCTGGATGTTACCAGGTGTGCTAAGAAGAGGATTGTACATCTAGCAAGAGAGGAGGTGGAACTCCAAATGCCAGCCACCTGGGAGAACTGCAGCAGAAGGTGGCTGCTGCCCTCCTGTTCCTCTTGGCTTCAGAAGCACCAGGCTGCCCACTGTGAGACAGAGAACGATGGCCTTTGGTCTGATTCAGCAGGTCTCTTCTTTTGAACAGGCATCAGTAAACAAACCTGCTCACTAAGCTGGCCTCTAGCATTTGGACCGCAACTCCCAGAATCCCCATCCAGCAGGGCCACTGACTGGGAATTCTGGGTGTTGCGGTCCAAACATGTCTGGAAGGCACAAGGTTGAGGATGACTGTCCTAGAGTGCTGACTACTTCACTTGCCTCACCTTAAATATAAGACTTCATGGGCTAGTAACTTTTGTGGACTCGTTTTGCAAAGTTGACCTCACTGAAGGAAATTCTCCATTTGGATATCAATCAGAAACTTAAAAAAGAAATTAGGATCATCTTTTTGCTTGTACATCCAATAACATCAAAGCTACTTTCTTTGTTTCCCAATGGGAAATTAATATTTTTGATCTCAAAATAGCTTCCTGAAACGTTTCACTACTAAACACAGCACCAAGCTTAACACTGGTTTGTTTGGAAAGCTTTGCATATTTTTGAACAGTGATCACTCTTGGTTTGGGAAAAAACACTTCTAGATACCACACCATTCATCTAAGCAAGATTTCTCCCAATTGGTACAAAGCTTCTAATCTGAAATTTCAGACAAATCATGTCTTACCTTCCAGAAAAGAATGCTGCAGTGACGACAAAAATGTAAAGTGTCTCCATATTGTTCCTTTATGGGATAATATTTCTGAAGTGCAAAGTACATCAGCTTCCAGTCAATATGACCTTTTTCTGACAGAATAAGATGCCTGCAAAACTGAACAAAAGTGTAATGTTTAATCAGTATCAGGTTGTTTTAACCAGCAGTCTACTTGGTATGTTCCATTTTAAATACATACAAGGAAAACCATTTGTAAAATATGTTAAGAGACCAGAGATCTGCTAAACAATGTGAGATTAATACTGATTGTTATAATCCTTTTATTTCAGGCAATAGAAGCTGCTTGTAATATAATGCACACCTCTTATGGAGTACATCCAACTGAACTCTGAACCATCAGCAAATAAACATGCTTCAGTTCAAACTACACAGGAATCACAGGCACACTTAACGGGAAGCAAGTTCTACTGGAATCACTGGAATGCCTCTCCAAGCAAGCATGTTTCCAATAAGCAGAGGAACAATCCCTCTCTGCTATATGCCTTTTGCTGGTGTACACATCTATTTCTTTCTTGCTCTACTTTTGCCTTCCCTAAGTAGCAATCCCATACATTTTGAGACAGAAAAAGTCCTGCAGCAACGCCATGACTACAAAATAATAAGCGTTTTAGGACTGTATTTCCTATCTAAACATGAACAGATTTGTACTTTAATAGGAGCAAAGTTTCAGAACCTCCTTATGCAGAAGTCAATGCGTGAGAAAGTTTGGCTTACCTGTTTTTCAGCAAAATGGTACTGGCAGAGCTTTTTCCATAACTGCCTGTCTTCACTGAGCATATATAAAGTGGGGGTTACTTGGCCCAAAGTAATGATGTCCCAACCATCTGAGAATCTGTACAAGATGTTATTTAGCATATGTAAAGGAAGATCGCTGAGTGTCAGTCCATCGCTGATTTGCTGAAAAGCCAGATAACTATTTTAAGTTGTTTGTTCAACAGATGGTGCCAAACATGCCCCAATAGGATTTTTTTTTTTTTAAGGCAGCAACTTGTGCGGTGCCACATTCCATCTAGTCCTTACTCATGATAAGGTGTGGATTTCCATCTGGGGTTTCCAGGCCCTGATTGTTAATCCCTATCTCTTCAGGAATTTTGAGGATTAATCACTTCAGGAATGACCAGGTCAGCTGGACAGCCATGCATGTGAAGGGGCCGAGAGAGCAAAGAACCCAACCAAACACTGTGGAAAGTTATGTGGTACTCACTGCTTCCATTAAGCTTTAAGTTATTGATGCTTAGCCCAGAACCTGCTCTGTATATTTCAGATGGGGAAAGAGCATAGAACACACTGGATTTTGTGCTGTTTTTATTCCGTTATGTGTTTTGTTGATTTTAATACACTTTCACTGTTGCTTTAATCGAGTTTCATTTCTGACTGTGAACTGCTCTATTTTTTTTTTTTTCTTTTTGGACATAATGGCATGGTATAAATCATGAATAACGTGTTGCCTGTTTCATAGCAAATTACATACTACCTTTATCACTGCTACAAACACTTAAGTGCTTATGTTCACTATCAGCAGTAGGTAGTACTCAACCATTTTTTTTAACTGGGTAGACCAGGATTTATCATATGAAAAATGAGCTCTGCTGGACCACAGAGGAGTGATTGCTTCACACAGCATTTACTAATCTCCTTAAGCCATCTGTGTCACTGACGGCTCAGGGAGCTTCAGTGGCAGCTACACTCCTATTTGGACGCCGTGCCTGGTTTCAGGGCCCAGATATGCTATGCTAATCTCTAAACCAGGTAGATCTCTGGTCTCTATGCCAGGCCCCACTGTGTGGGGCTGCTGTGCAGGGACTGTTCAGAGGCTCCAGCTGGAGCAAAATGTGACAGCCAGACTGAGAACTGGAGCCAGAAGGTCTGAGCATATAATCCCTGTTCTGGCCCACTTGCACTGGCCACTTATATACTTGCAAGCCTGATACAAGGTCCTAGCTGCAAAGTCTTTACCTGGCTTGGGGCCACAAGATCTGTCCAAGCCCTTCCCAATCACAATCTACCCTGACACTACAATCAACACTTGCGAGGCTTCCTCACAGTAAATACCCTCCCAACCCACACAGCATGGCATAAAATTCTGGCTACACTGTGACTCCAGACCACAGTATGTTCATGATGGTGGCACAGATAAGGGCATTCCAGCAGCTCAAAATCTAGACCAGGCAGTGGCTCGTAAGCAAGCAAATTTACAGGGCTCTTGCTCAATTAAAACCAATGATACTTGTTATCCCAGTGTGCCATGAGCTGGGGGATCCAGGTGACACACTGAAAGACAAACCAGAAACTCCTTCAGCATTCCTTGCCAGCAAGTCCAAACGTGTGAACAGAAGCGTTCACAAACGGAGTCACGCTGATGGATTTCAAAAAAGGTCTGGCACTTTGACAGCCATTCGACCTTCTTCAGCGTAGACTGATGTGGCAGCCTCAGACAAATGCAAGCCTGACATCATCCACTACAATAAGACTGAAGGTGGTGTAGACAGGTATGACCATGGGGTCTTCATATGCTGTGCATTATCTAATAGTAACATTTCTATGCTGCCCCACAACAGAATTCTATGTAGCTTGCAGTAAATATGAAATAAATGGTGGTCATCCACAGATATATTTGTGTCCAAATAGAGTGGGCATTGCCCATGTAGTCTGACAAGTGAACAGCCCATGAAAGCAAGAACATCCCCAGAGATGTCTTCTCCTGGTAGACCTGGCTCTGGAGTTTATCATACCCTAGGTGGAGTCTAGGGATGCAGCCAGCTTGCCTGGGAAGAGCCTGCCAATTCCAACACCAGGAGACGCAGAGATGATTTTTAGGGCAGGTCATCCCATCACATTACGGTAGATGTGATGATATAAAATCACAGCAACAATGTGCCTCATGTAATTGTTCACATATAGTTACGAAACGTAAGTTGCTCAAGTACCACGTCCTATAGATGCAAGAGCTTTGTTACCTCTAATTCACAATTAAAATCACTAGTATAACTCATACAGATTTTTCGCTTTCCCACCTGAACAGATAGTAATCTACCTAATTCATTATCATAAAAATTAATGTTCTGCCATTCACAAATCTTTTTGTTACAAAGAATATGGGGGGAAAGCCAATTATTAAAACCTGCCCATTGAGAAGTATGTTTAAGTTCAGTGATTTCCTAAGTAACCGAAGGGAAGATTACAGATCTGACACATACTAAGTAGGTATTTATAGTTTATTATGCTCAATTAATTCAAGCTGATTAAAGCTATTTGTGACACTATGGCTACAATACTTATTAGGGGGTAAGTAGTATTTAATTAAAGCTGTGTGCAAATGGCCTCTTGAAATTGTGGGCAAAGAAATTGGAGGATAATTTCCCTGAATGTCTGATTTCAGCCTAGCCCTAATTTAAAATAGCTAAACAGTGGCTATGTTTCAAAACTATGTATGGCTGGTGCCACTTGGGAGGAGGCAGTGCTTACGGCCCACTTCCCTAAAGCAGCAGATCCTTCTGTGCTGCCTAAAAATCCAACCCCTGAAGTTGGATGGTGGTCCCCAAACCTGTTTTGAGGCAGCCAGAAAAAACACAGGAGCATTGATCAATCTGACCAATTGATCTGACCAATCCATAAATTAATACTAGAATGAATGCATATTTCTACAGTCACACTATATTTTCTGAATGCTTAAATATAGGTGCTCACCTCTTTGGAAGAGTGTAATTCAGAATAATGGTTTGGGAAAGAAAATACAACACTGTCAATCACTGTTACATTTCAAATATGTTGTCATCTCAGTTACGTCAGAACAATAGCTTATTTCATTCTATAGATATTTTATTTATGTTTTCATTTAATTACACTCTGAGACAGGAGTAGGGGAAAAAGGGAGAGAGGGAAGCCCTACAGAAAGCCTTAGAGCAAACCATTTCACTCTTACATACTACATTTGTTTGAATACCACTTCCAAACAATCCTTCCATAATTAACCATGACATAAATATTGCATATACCTTGGTCACCTGAAGATTATTGAGCTGTTGCTGCCACAAGAGGATTCTTTCCAATCGGCAAATCCAAATATTGATGTTTCCTACCAGCACGGACTTCCCTACACCCCTTATTAGCATGCAGAGTGCAGAGCTCAGATCCTGAAGAAGGTCTTTGATTAGTCGTGGGTTGTACTGGTCTTCTAAAACTTTGAAGTGGGAATTTAAAACACACGGATGAGAACTCTTGATTTCAGCTGCATGTTAAGCCCTTTCATTCTCTTAATTAGAACTGAATTGGTCATTTCATCAGCTTAAATGAATAGCTAAGTTCTCCTGCCCAGCAAATATCTACTAATGGTGGAACCCAGGGCTCAGGTACAAATAGATGGCTCCTACATAGAGTAGACCTACTGGAATGTATGGGAATTCAGTTATTACCAGCTTAAGCCCTGCTCATTTCAACAGGCTTATTCTAAGTAGGTCTAGTTTTAGCATTAACCTATGGAGTCAGACTGATGCTACGGGCAGGTACATAGACAACCAATGTTCAGGATCAAGTTGCTAACTCTGCCATGGAATTAAAATGCATGTTCCAGCAAGCGAATCAGGGGTTCTGGTATTTCACTGCTTGCCACCCCTAACCTAATTGCACCTGGAAAATAATATAGTACAGCAGGACCCCCACATCTGCAGAGTATCGGTTCCAAGCCCCACTGCAGATGCCTGAAACCATGGATAGGAGTGAACATTATATTCACAGAAGCCCCACCAAAGTGGAAACACTGCAAATATCTCTAGAAAAAAGCCATCCATATGTCCACAGTCTTCGTGCCCACTGACAGAAAAACATGTGAGTGTCTTGGCTGGTACCAAGACAAAGATCCTGGTGTCCCCAAATGGTATGTGAGGCTTCCTAGAGGTATTTGTGGTTTTTCCACTTACATGGGGGTCCTGTGCCCCCTACGCCCTGCAAATGCAGAGGGCCAATGCTCAACTTCAGTTACGTGAAACCACGGAAATCTCTTTCCTTTCCCCAGCATCTACGTCTCACCTATATGGAAAGGGCTTGAGGAACATTTACAGCTGTCTCTCCACTCAGGAAAGCAGGCAAATGCAAGCAGAGCTGCCTGACGTTAGCTGATGGCCTGGGGGTTCATGCTGCTCTGCTCCCGGTGCTCTGCTTTACAGCCCCCACAAACCCCAGGGGAGGCTTCCCTGCCCCACAGTCTCCAACAGCCCATGCCCTCTCCTACTCAACCTCTCTCTGGTGGTTTTGGTCACCAGCATATCCACATGGGTACATCCTTTGCTAATACCGGGAAGACACCCCATGAACAAAGTATCAGCTTCCTGTAATTGCCCATTATGGCACCGCAGAAAAAGCAACGACTACCAATTGTTCAGCATCATCTCGACCTTTTATGTGGAGGAGCCATTTGGGTATTTTGCCTAAGACGACGCAATAATGGTCAGAGACAGGACTGGAGGGGAAAAGGGGACTGGGCATGAGAATTGCAAGAGACCTGCACCATCTGCAAAACCACATGCACGATGGCAAAAGCAGGGGCAACAGGCCACCCCTCATCAGGTCAGCCCTGTGTCAAGCAAGAGCTAAGACAGCAGCACTGACTGTCCCCAGGTCGGCCTTTAACATCCTCATAGCCCAGTGGATACCTAACTTTTATACCCAGCTGTGCGACTCTTACTCAAAGCCTGCAGCCAATAATTCAGCCGGTGGATGCAAACATGCAATTTTTAACCAAAAGCTGCCTTAAAGGCTTCTCACAATGCTGCCATCCCAGGACCGCCATTGCATCAGGACAACCAATGGCCCTGGCAAATTTGATGACAAGCCAACACTTTATATACAGCATCCACTTTAAAGAATCATAAAGCCAACATTTTTAAAAAGGCATCATCAATTGACCAGTCACATAAAGCTCAAGAATGTTTACGGCATCACTGTTATGAGAATAAAGGTGATCAAAGAGGTTTATTTATTTATTTATTTATTTTTATTTAAAGCTTTCTTCCTACATACCACACGAATCAGGCATTTCCCACTAGCTAATTTTATCATCCACCAAGCTTGTGCAGAAGGGTTAGCCTGCATGTACACTGGCCCAGTGTTGTCTAATGAGCTTGAGATCATGTAAGGAATGGAACCACGGTCCCTGGAAGTCTTAATCTGAAACTAATTGCTTCACAGTAGCCTTTGCCACAGCTAACAGCTTGTATGCCGGCTTGGAGTGCCAGCAGGAGCAGCTTTGCTATGACCCAATTTCTATCCTTGCTAACGTAGGACCACTTAATTAAAAATTAAAAAATGGTAAGCTACTATCTGCGTGATGGCATTCCTGGAATATCCGACTGGTCAGCGGATTAGCATACCAGCTCCATGAGAGCTTGAAATGTGTTTAATTCAATCTGGCAAGTAAGGCTGCAACCCAGGCTCTGCCAGGGGCTGGCTGAGGAGAGACCAGAAACAACTGCAGCGGCCAAGTGCTCTTCTGGGCTGGGCCCAGAAGAGGAGAGTGCCACGTCCCCCCTCCACCCATTCAGCCGCATGGAATTCTTTGCTGCCTAGGGCTGCCAAAAAACGCTTAAATACCAAGCGGCTTCCTTTCCCAATATCTAAGTATCAACAAGGTATTTGCAGCTATTTTAAGCAGATCAGGCCAGCTGCAGCCTTACCTTTGCAAACAATTTTGTCCAAGATGTTGAAATAGTTCTTTTGAGCAGCCCCACTCAGTGATGTCAACTGGGATTTTGCTATTAACTGCAGCAGCTAAAAAGAACAGAGAAAAAAACCTGCATTAGATGTTGTGCAAAGCCTGGGAGACACAATGAGTTAAGCTCTTTAGAGCCATAAAAATGCACCATGCAGGGTGGGGTGGAAGGAACTGCCCTTCCCTTTCTCTGATTTTGCCTGCATCACCGTAAGCACAAGGCAAAGACTTGGGCTCCTGCACTCTGAAAAGTGCTATGCATGCTGAGAATGCAGCATTCACACATGCCAGCCTCAAGCTCCCCTTCCCCACCCCAAACACCACCCTGAAAAAGACAGGAAATAGAAACTGAGATTTCTCTTCAGTTGCATCTGATCCGCTTGCATACGGTGTGTAAAATGGAAATGACAGCACTGTTAGGATAATGGGCCTTTTGCTAGGCTCAGAAGCCTGAAAAAAGGCCAGCCTTGCCACCCTCTGGTACTGTCCTGTTATTCAATGTATAATTTTATTAATTTTTAAAGCAGCAGTAACAACAAAGGAAATATCCTAGCAAAAACCAAAGAGCAGCTCTAGACCAAGTGATGTACAAGTGAATGGCCTGGTTGATGCTGCCAGAGCAGGCTCCCCTAGCAGAGAAATGTTTAAGCTGCATCCCACCGGTGCATACAAACTCCCCTTTGAACATCACAGCAGGAGCGAAAGTCATTTGAGCATCTACTTGTCAGTACTTGATGCTACCATCAGAAGCTGCTTTCAGAGTTACACGCAATTTCCCCTTAAATCAAGCTCAGTTAACTTCACACGGAAAGGCACTTACCAAGCAGTCTTGAGGTTACTGGTGTTGTTTTTAAAAAAAAACCATTCTGCATGGCAGATAGGGAATTAAATCCTCCAAGCAGATTCTCTTTAAAATATGTTAAGCTCCATAACATGCTTTTGCTATACTGCATAGAACACCCATCAAAGAGATGAAAACATTTTTGCTAACCCTGCTACTTTTCTCGAACACTTCAGGAACAATCCAGTCAGAATTAGGCACTGTTATGCCCCATTGATTCCAATAGTAAGGTTACAAGAGACTTTAAAACACACACACAAACAAGCCTCAGACAGGAAGGAGAAGAACTGTCCTGCGAGGGGGGAAGACTCAGCGTATGTTTATCTGCATGCTTAAAGGAATGATATGCAAAATGTTCAAACATTTAACTTAAATATCCCTTCAGGAAAGTAGACAACAATTCAAAGCACACTTACTCAAAAATAAGTGAATTTAATTGAATGAGTCCTGATCTATTCAGTGGTGCTTAGCCCCAAGTAAATGTGTATAGATCTTCACTGAGCACAAAAATCTCACTGTGGTTCCATAATAGTTCAAAACCGTAAGAGAATCAACTTGGTATTAATTTCTGAGGTGTTGATTAAGGAAGCTTTGCTAGCAGAGATCTTTTTGCCTGTCTTGTCGTACAGAGACAGAAAAAAATCTGCTATTATTTTTTTAATGTGGAAAACAGAGGAAAATCCTTCTCCCACTCTGAAATGAACTCTCACAAAAAAGCCAGCAACTTTAGGTGAATGGATTATTTTTAGGAAGTCTCATCTAATCCTGGATAGACAAAGTACAAGCATATCTTACTTTGACCACGTAATTAAATCTTCTGATGTCCTGAATCGCGCTCGAGAAATCTAAGCGGTTAAAAGCTTCTCCCAAAGTGCAATAGCCATGTCTCTTGAAAAGGAAAATTACAAAAGAACAAGTTAGGGGTGCACAAGAAAACTTTCTAAAGAGGGATACATGCACCCACACGCCTGTCAGCACCGTTACACCATCTCCTCCCTGCTCAGCTCCACAGCACTCTTCACAACTAGGAAGGAGATGGAAACATAAACTGGTGATGAGAGAGCAGTAAAGCTTTTGGCTCAGCCTACCCCAACTGATTTCTTCTCTCCCAAAGGGTTAGGCCTAGGCAGTGGGTTGAGCTACACTGAGGGTGCCCAACACTCCAGGGGTTTGGCCAGAAGCCGCTGCGCATGCCAGCCCCTGCCCTCCATCCATCCGTGGCCAAGCTCCATGCTCAGAATGCCTGCCCTAAACCGCTAAAAATACGGTGTGGGAAAAAATACGGAAGTGCTGCAATCGGAACAATGCTGTCCAGGTGATATCACAGCAATCTGACGCCTTCCCACGAGCTAACTCAGGGCCCCCTCACTACTAGCTTACTTGAAACAGATGATCACTGGGACCAGATGAACTGTGCTCATCACAGGTAATACTTACTTCTCTGGTACTTTCTTTATGAACATATATCCATTTCTCACGAAAGAAACCTACAAGCAAAACCAGATAGAAGAAAATTTTAAACTATCTCCTTCACAAGAGACATACTAAGATAAGAGGAAAACAGACCCATTATTAAAAACCGGAAGAAGGCAAACCGGATATACAAATAGGTAGTTTTCGACATATGTCTGTCATCCCCGCTTAAAGGGACCCACAGTTTTGGAAGCTAGCTGTCAAAGCTCTTTTGCAAAAAAAAAAAAAAAAGGAGGGTGCACTTTTGCTGAGAGCCTAGAACAGTGTTGGCAAACCTACGGCACACGTGCCACAGCGGGCACGCAGAGCCCTCTCTGTCGGCACGCGAACCAAGTCGCCCCAGCAGCTGAGCATTGGATAACAGCGCACACAGGGGCCATGCGCATGCTCAGGAAGGTGTAATGGTACCAGGCGATGATGTCACAAGCTGTGACTCATTAGCCGCGACTCGTCCGAGCTTTCACATGGCCGGTCAGTGCACTGCTAAGGATATTTATTTGCTTGGACTGGCTGTGAGCTGCTTTTTCTAAACTAAAACCTCAGTATTCAGGTTTTATTGCAGTGTTGGCACTTTGCGATAAATAAGTGGGTTTTGGGTGGCAGTTTGGGCACTTGGTCTCTAACAGGTTCACCATCACTGGCCTAGAAGCTTAGGGAAAAGTACAAAAACTACACTGAGGACGGTTGAGTGGGGGGAGATGGAAGATCTTGCCATAAAGATGGCATAAATCACACCACACCCATAGCCAGAGGAAAAAACTCACATGCACCTTTTATTTCACTTGGCCACTGTTAAGAGAAACCAAAATTAGGGGAGGATTTGGAGCCTCTTTTGGGCAATGTCCGAAGTTGGTACCTGCTATACCTTGGCAGCAGGCATCACCCACAACATGTCTCCAGCTGAAGCTTCAAATTGCTACACTTCTGCAACTAGGAATCTCTACTGTGGTGCAAGCTCAGCTCAATTAAAAAGTAAACAGATTAATTATTTGAGTAAATTGTGTATTTTTTAGAACTCATCTGCTGGCCTCTGACAGCCCTTCCCAGGTGCCACCTGGGTATTTTGAAAAGGCTGTCACTGTCAAACCAAAAACTGCAAAGCTGACTGTCAAGCCAGCTTTTGTGATTTCCAGGAAAAAAGGGTAAACATTCAAAAAGCCCAAGTGAGCAAAAAATGACTTCTGAATATCACGGTGAGGGGTAAAAAGAGATGGTCCTGCTGTCATGCCCTTGAGGAAGAAGGGGGCTTACACAACCCACAGCAAACCCAATCATCTGCTGGACACACCATGAGTTGTTTGCAAAGCAAGCAGCTAACCTGGCTTATTGCCTTGGTAGGTTGGCAGGACAGGTAAACTTGCACTGCATGTGCACCCCCGATTAGATTGTACGCTCTGTTTTCTGCACAGGCTGCATGCAAACACAGTCCTTTCATTAGAATTATGATCCCAAATCCTGGATATTGCCCCCCCCCCCAACAAAAAAAAACCCTGATAGCAGGAAGGTGAGCCTTGTTGAAATGCCTGCCTACTTCTTTGGATGACAGTGCACAGGCAGGCAAAATTCTGCTAAGAGGCAGCACTGGTCAGTCAAGCATGAAGCACTGCCCACATCAGAAAGGCTCTTCCAGTGATATTCTTTCATCCACAGAATAACTCTAGGAATTATTCCTATAAATTCACACACCTGACAACATGGCTTGCTGAAGGGAGATCATCTTCCTGGCTTTCCACTTTAAAAAAAATACTGTTCTGTTACCTTTCACAGAGCTCACCTGAAGTCCAGCAAGAACAAAAACTGGAATTATGCCACCAAAGCCTGTTTTACCTCTCCCACAGTACCCTCATTCCCTCTAGTTTCCTCACTGAATCAAATACAGAAAAGATTCTCTACATCTTCAAGCCTTGTGTCCCATCCTTTAAAACTAATGAGCACAGGAAAATATTTCATTTCAGAAATGCTGACCTTTTTGGTAGAATCAACATACTAGGCGATGCTTTGATTTATATTCTGATCAGATACTATTCCCTGGAATAATCCTGAAAGCCATTCTGTGATGCAAAGAAATATGTAGGAAATGAGCTGAAGTCTAATTGGTTTAAGTGAGACACAGTTCCAAGTAAATAAGCCTTGGGTATTTAGAAAGATCTGATATTAGCTTTTGAAAATTCTGCCTCAGACACCTACAGGCTATGTACCTCCCACAGATGAAACTGCATACATGTTGTTTAATTAAAGCAAACCACTACTTCAGAAAAAGAAAGTCTCCATGTGAAAATGGTGAAAGAAAAAGTTGCAAATGAAAGATCGTTATTCTTTATATAAAATTTGCCCTGTCATTTTTACCTGAAGTGCTTCAATGTAAACATCAGTTTATTTCATATATGCCTTTAAAAAGACACCCACAAAAAGTATCCTTACCTGGCCTTGCTCTTTTCATATACACAAGCATTTAGTTCACATTACAGTTTTGTACAAGTCTCACTTAAATACAAAGCTACATTTGCACTGCCAAATTCTAGATGGAACCAGAATTAAAGAGCAATTAAGTCTTCTGTTGAGATTTCTGCATTGTACCTACAGTGATCCTTTTTCCTTTTCTTGCTTGCAAATTCACAATCAGCAGCATAAATCTCATCATTACCCAAGAGGCTGAAAGAAAGAAAACACACATTTCACTTAAAGAACTAATGCCTAAGAGACATGGACATCCAGAATGAGACATGCATACTACCATTCTCAAATTTAAAGCAACCTCGTAAACAATCCAACAAGGGCTACTATCCTGTGTTAAGTCCTTTGCTGCTTATGAAGGAAAAAAGATGAACGAACTCTTTTACTTTATAAAAAGATCTCATTCCTGGCTGCTGTGTTTAAATGTATAATCTCCTAAATTCAATCCCTGCCACCGTCATTCAAGGGAGTTCAGATGAGCAACACAGGAAAAGATCCAGACAGGTCTGCGAAGGCTCCTGAAAATGTCAGCAGTGACGGCATTTGGATCTGTGCTCTAACTCAGCCAGAGGCAAGAAAGCCAGTTAGAAACTTGATTTAGGGCCAAAAGAGATGCCACTTTCCCTTTTGATCTAGAGTAAGAGCAGGAGGCCCAATTCAGACAGAGATGCTAGTCTGACAGGTGGAGAGCTTTACTGAGAGTGACCCACCAAGCAAAATGATCATACTTTTAAAACATGGCATGGATGTATGGCCCCACAATTCAGATCAAGCCCACAGTGGAGAAGGGAGAGTTAACGCCCTCTTCCTTGCACACTAGGATCCCAATCCAGATTGGGAGCCCTGCATTTAGTCTAGGGTAACACTGAACAGAGAGAGAGAGAGAGAGCGCGCGCGAGATAGAGAGAGCGAGCAAGCAAGCAAGCAGTCACTGGCTATGTTTTTTCAAGTCATATACAGTACCTTCGCCCTACATTCAAATACTGCTGCTCTTTCAAATCCTTTTGCAAAATAAATTCACTTCTATTCCCCCCTAAGGGAAGAGGCCTGGGTCAGAAGCAACAGGTGAGAAGGGCCTCTGGCGCTCCACCTGCAGAAGCAACCCAAGTGCCAGCTCTTCGTCTTCTACTGGCCTCACTGTGTTCAGTGGGCAGGGATGCACGTGCAGCTGGCTGATGAGGACTCTGATGAGTCAGGCACACCCTGAGAAAGCCAGGGGGCAGTGGCAGCGTGAGGCACTCTGGGACCCTGACCTTGATTAAAAGAATGAGCAGGCTGTGAAAGGAAAGGTCTTAATGTTATGTCAGTTTGGTACGGGAGTGACTCTGAAGTTCTCCTAATAACCAGAACACTCCTGAGTTCAGAGGGAAGAGACCGGCTTTAAATAAGCCACTGATGCCGAACGGGGCAGCTCTAAAGATCCAGGGCCCTGCTCAAAAGATCTGGGGCTCAAGCCTACATGGCTCCACATCAACACCACTCATGTATAATGTAAGATTTAACTGGCATGAATCTTTTTTTGAAAACTGCAACTACACGAATACATTAAAAGAGCTTTTGGATGGGTTCATGAATCAGACCACCATGGAAGGAATTCCATTTCTCATGTGTAAAAAACTTGTGGGATTACATTACAGTAATTCCATAGTCTTCTGCCTCCTACAGCCTTCAAGACTGATCTAGCCCCAGTGATCACAACTTTTAATCAACTCCAAGCCACCATGCAATGTGCTAGTTTTTCCACAACCTACTAAAAATACAGAAAAACCAGGCTGGTAAAGGGTTAAACAATTCTTCACAAGCAAATAATTGAACAAGTTCACTGTAGTATATTCAGTCCTCAGACTCAATAATTTACACTACTAGCTCAGTATAGTATTTTATGACTTTTTTGGTACTTTATTTTCTCTCTCAAATTATTTTTGCTCCTTTAAGATTCTGAAAAAGCTACTACAAGTTTTACAGCAATTCCCAAATTAAAGTTTCATTTCTCACACGGAAATCTAGAAGAAGCAGAAGGTGCAGAAAGACAACAGAAAGCAATCACTTTCCAGAAATGCTGATGACCCAAGATGCCCTTCTTTGCAGAGCAGTTTGCCTCACACAGATAAGCAAAGCTACTAAAGCTTCACAGCACAATATGTGTAACTGTAAGTAAAATTACTTTGTCCTCCCATCTTCATTTTTAACAGGAAAGATGTATACAGGCATCTTTCGCCACTCACCAGTATCCACTTTCAAGAAGACAGCTGAATTTGTTAAATGAAGGTATTTATCACCGTCAATTCAGGCTTTAAAAGCACCCATATTATAGCCCCGATGTTGTAAATCATGAAAAAAATAAAAATAAAGGGTGTGTGTGTGTGTGTGTGTGTGTGTGTGGGTGGGGGAATCAAATACACACTTTCAGGTATTAAATGGCAAGTATCTAAAAAGTAAAATACATCATGAATTTACACCACACCTTGAATGTTAGAAGAATTCAATTACAGGGAAAAGCCTTTGAAGTCCTCCAAAAAATCCAAATATAGTAATCAGATATAGCAAGAAAGTGTTCTCACCTATAAAAAACCAAACCAGGCCATCAAAACAATGGATTCTACCAATACCTATTTGCGATGGAGCCTCAGTAGAAAGGGGAACTAGATATCATCCCTACTTCCTATGAAGTACACGGTCAGAGATCTCATGTTATATTGGTTCTATTCCTAAGCAGGGCCTACAACCTAGCATTTAACTCAGACTGGTATGAAGGAGTTACTTCTTTTCAAGCTCACTTTTATACACAAATAAGAGCCTGCCAAATCTCCACTGAAAATAGAAGAAATAAATATCTGGATGGAAGATTAAATCTCCTATAATGCAGTTATGGAACAGGTTTGTATATTATAAAGCAGAAATATACTTGGCTTAAGCAACAAAATGACTTTCCTGAGAGCCAAGATGGCAGAAAACAGAACATAAATAACCCAGAAGACAGTTACTATACAGTGCACAGGGATGTGTTCAGAGCTTTCAGTGCCAGAAATCCATCTGACCATTAATAAATCAGCTTTTTGCACTTGACTCCTGTAATGTTAATGGATGTTTCTGAACTTTATCCTTGCATGTTACCGGATAAATATGTTTTATTCTGAGGTCTGTTGATTGGATCAATACACTGATCTACTATCCCCTGGTTTCACCAGCTAAGAGCTTCTACAGCAACCATCCCCAAGATGGAACTGTCTGAAGGAAAGCTAGGAACTGTTCTCCATATGGAGGGTGCTTGGGCGGGATGGGTATATTGGGGCCACCTGCCACCTCCTTGTACCCCATGCTAAGATTCACAGAGAAGACTGCAATTCACAGTACAGGGGGCACTTGCAAAGAGCTATAGAACAAAGGGGTCTCTCCGTCCTTTGTTTCTGTCTTTTTTTAAAACTACCCTATTTTGTCCTGCTTGCCTTGTGGATGTGGTTATTCAAGATATATTTCTTGGTGTTGCCTTTAGATAGTCAAGCAAGCTGTGTCATATTTATTATTATACTCGATTTCTACGCCACCCAGAATGAAAGAAACATTTAAGTCATCCATCCACATTTCAACCAGGCCTGACCCTGCTTAGCTTCCAAGATTAACCAGGATCAGGCAGTTCAGGCCATACTGATAGAGGAAGAGTACACTGAAGTCAACAGAACATACAGCAGTGGAAATTCACCAACATACATTGTAAAATTATCTGAGGCCCTGACTCCTATGGTCAAGAACTTAGTTTTACTACAGTGGTGCTCTGAAGATGGGATGGCTGACCCACAACTCCCATGTGTACCCTACCTGCAGCCACTGCTCATTTCACACACATCTTTTGCCTCTAAGTTGGTGACTAGAGGAACAGGAGCTATTATTCCAGAGTCGCAGGGAGAAGATAAAATAAGGGATGCACAAAAATACAGATTTTATTGGCCAAGTCAACAACACCACTGATGATTCACATTTCACATAGAAAATGTGTGTCCAGAAACTGATGCACATATCATGCATACATTAGGTGCTGGGACAGATTTCCTGTTAACAAATGTTCAGGCAGAAAAGCTGAGAAATATATGAGACTCTGGAGACAAGCTGACAGATACTGGGATAGAGAGATCAATAATCAGATCAAGCTTAAACAGTTTCATACGAAATTACAGTGGTGGTGGGTAACACAGGGACATCCTCCAGATAGATCCTGCCATTCTGGTGGTACAGCCTAACTAATTTTAGAGGTCCATGGTTAGAACTACCACTATCACTAGAAATGTCTGTGACTACACCATGCATTTTCTGTGCATGCATAAAGCACTTTTCTAAGAATGACACAAATCTGCTTCTTATAATAGATAAAGCCTTCTCAAAAGTAGAAAGAGTTAAATTTTCTTTTCCCCCTGCAAGAACATTTGATTCACCACCACCAGAAAAACAGGTGCTTTGAATTTCAAATCTCTGCATCCTTCATACCTCTGCGGTGAAGATCATGTACAGAATGCAATTTGCAGAATCCAGGCATGCAATTTTGAGCTTTTTGCAGCAATAAGCTACTTTTAGTGACATGGATCTAATGGCCCACCTTATATTTAAAACAGTGAAGTCCCCATGGCAACACCATATCAGATAATTAGATTGTTACATAAGTACGAAATACCATACAATATCAAATAACTGAAAGTAGTTTTCAGCTGCCCTGATCTTACATAAACTGAGATCCCTTCTCCACAAAATATACACTGCCTGTACATACATCACATACTACTTTATGCATGAGAACAATCTCTGTGCAAAGCCAGAATATAATTTTAATTAAGAATTAAAAGATTTACAACATTGTTGTAACTGCAATCCCACCAAGTCAAAGATGAAAAATGTAGAGAATCTGTTTTAAAGAAGAACTCTGCCTTATCTGTAACTAGTTACAAAGTCCAGAAAGATATACGGAAGCCTGTAAATGTTTTACTGAATACTTCCCCAGCTTTCTGCCTTAAAGGTTTAAAGACCACAAGCAACTGCTTTTATTCACTAGTTTCAGACTAAATTCATTCAGCTCTGTTTAATATTTAAATCTACCACCTTACTGAGTTAACATTCATCTTTCCTGACTCAGCATAAGAATGTGTAAATAATTTGTCACTTGGCTTCTCTCTTGCATTCCCCCACCTTGAACTAAAGTTTCCAAAGCTAATTTGCTTTACATCCTGGTGGTGGTGATTCGTCATACTTTTGTTAATCTAATACCCTGTGACACTACATCTAGCATGTAGAGGCCACATCATCATTATTATTATTATTATTATTATTATTATTATTATTATTATTATTATTATATTAGAACATTTCTATGCTGCCCCTTGCCGAAGCCTCAGGGCAGCTTACAACACAATAAAATACAATACAAAAATAACAATATAAAATTAATATTATAAAATAAATAAGAAATATAAACAATATAAAGAAGTTATAAAAGAAAAGTTATAAAAGAAAGGAAAAGAAGTCGCCCTGGCCAGATAAATAAGTAAATATTGTTAACAATTAAAATGACGTTTAAATAAAAAGGTCTTCACCTGGCACCGAAAAACAAATAACGACGGCACCAGGCGGACCTCTCTGGGGAGCATATTCCATAGATTGGGCGCTACCGCAGAGAAAGCCCTCCTCCGAGTACCTACCCTCCTTATATCTTTCACGGAGGGTTCCCGGAGAAGGGCCTCTCCCGCAGATCTCAAGGGGCGGTCGGGCATATATGGATGTAAGCGCTCCTTCAGGTAACCTTCACATAAAACTTCCTCTGTACAACCACTAATTTCTATTCATCTGTAACACTGGCAATTGTCCATAAATGGATTAAGAGGATGGTTCTAACCAGCAGACAAACAGCCATGATTTGTCCTGTGTACCAAATACTGTGCATACAATGCCACTTAAAACATGCCTCTTCATACTACCATCTACCTGAACATTATGGTCAAGATCTGGGTCCAGCTTCTGACTGCTACCGCCAAGAGGGGCTTGGTTGGTGGCAATAAGGAGAAAAGCCTTTGCAGTGGTGGCCCCCAAGTTATAGGACAAGTTCCTCACTGAGCCCCAACTGGTGCCAACCTTTCTGTCTTTTCAGCAGCAGGTTAAGGCATTTAATTAGTTTACTGGCTTTGTGAGTTGCTTAATCAGGCACAAGAATGACTTTGGTTCTTGGGATGTTATATGTGTTTTAAATTTGGTTTAAAATTTTGTACAGCAACCATTCGTATGATGTTTTATAATGTGATATATTTTAGATTGCATTTTAATGATTTGTGTAAACTTCTGAGAAAGCTTTGGCTATTGGGTGGTACAGAGGTTAAATAAATAAATATAAAGCTTACACATATAGAAAAACAGGCATTACTGTTGCACTAATACCCAGCTTTTGAGTCAATCTTCCTTGTTGATTCCTCCTCCAGAAAACTTACACAGCATGACTGATGTCATTAAGCCGATTATCCTCATCCTCAAGTTCTGAGCTGCAAGGTTCACAACGCTTCCAACCATCTTCTGTTTTAATCCACCTCCACCCTGGAGACCGCCAGTCCTGGCCCAAAAAAGGCATGGTTTCCTTAAGGTGAGAAATGAGGAAGGTTGTTTCAGCAATTTCACCATCATGTAAGCAGAATGATATTCATAACTTGTTGCCATGAGAACCTTTGTGACAATAAAGGAGGAACAACTGAAGTCAAACAGTGGCGGAAGATGAGCACATTAGCTGATATAATGAACACAAGTCACCCTGGCCAAAGGCTGCCTCCGTCGCGAGAGGCTGCATGCCTCTGTAGGCCAGTTGTTGGGCAGCATGGGCGAAAGAGTGCTGTTGCAACCATGCTTTACTCGTGTGTTTCCCAGAGGCAGCGGGATGGTCACTGTGTGAACAGGTTGCTGGACGAGATGGACCACCGCTCCAATGCAACATTCAGTGCAACGTCTCGTTGCCTTTGTCATGTTGGCCACTCAACAGGAGCTAAGTCAAAGTGTTTTAGACCATGATATACACCTTCATAATCCTAACAATTGATAAACAGAATGAACTCATGATTGCCAAGTAATGACAACATTATTGATACTTCAAGTAATGTGACAGATAAGCTTGTGAGTTCAGATTACATGTACCCTTTGGAACATCTTACTGTGTAAAAAGAAGCTCAAAGGGCAAAAGCAGCAATTTCATCCACCTACCATACATCAGCAGGAGAGAACTGTGTTAGTTTTCAAAATAAACCATCTGTCAATGTCATATGAACCATTTACAAGCAATATAAATAAGAATGTAAGAGCTGCCCTGCTGGAACAAATGAAAAGCTTCTTGTCTCTCACTGGGATAAACCAGATGCCTCCAGGAAGTGCACAAGCAGGACATGAGAACAACTGCCTGCTACCACTCTTGCTCTATAGTAACTGCCATTCAAAGATACACTGCATCTTGTATTGGAGGTATGACAATCCATTGTGGGTATTAGTGCATGAATTTGTCTAATCCCCCTTTAAAGTGGTCCAAGCTGGTAGCTATCACTATACCTCATGAGAGCAAGCTCCACAGTTAAACTTACTTGCCATATAAAAGCATTTCATTTTCATCTGCCCTGAAACTCCTGCCATTCAGCTTCATTAAATCACTCCATTTATTTGAATTCTCATGTTAAATTAATAAGAAATAATATTTTGCATCTTTTAAAGCTTGTAATTGTTTTTCCCACAATAATAGATAGTATGGTAAATTTGGAACTGTTATCAATGCTAGAATGCAGTTTTATATAATAAGTTCCATTTAAGTACCACATTCACATTACCCTCAAGTTTCTGGCTACAAAGAATGTTGTCATACAAGACAATAAATCACTATTGGTTAATTGTCTGCCTGCAACTGAGGAGACTTGGATTCAAATCCCAGCACAGCCAACAAAATGTGTGGTTGGCCAATGTTTCTTACTAGCCTACCTTACAAACTAGTTGAAAGAAAAGCTGGGACAGGGAGCACCAATGATCTGTCCTTAGCTGCGCCTGGGGGGGGGGGGGAGACAAAAATATAAGAACTGACGTTTGGATTTGGGGGAATAAGGCCATGTAAGCCATCAGAACTCTTTTGAAGGAGATGATATACAAGTATAACAGGACAAGGATACAATTCAGAATAGGAGGAAAGGAAAAAGAATATTGCTGCACATAATATTCTAGTTATTAGGTGGTGAGATGGGGGGTGCGCAAACACCACATTCTAATGCATGCTTTCCAAGGAACCAGTCCCACTGAACTTGGTGGGACTCGCTTCTGAGTACACAAGAAAAAAGCCTGGGCAGGGAGAGAGAAACCTCTTGGCTCTCTGCGGGGCACGTGCTCTTTCAAGACTCCGAGGTTCACTATCGATTCAGGGGGGCTGTTGTCTTACAAATCAGGCTCTTCCTGCACACTTATGGCAAGGCTTTTGCAGATCCAAAACTTGTTGCACAGAGCACAACTCACCTTTGCTTGGGTAAACCAGCCTTCCCTAACCCGGTGCCCTTCCGATACTTCAGAAAACAACTCCCAGCGTCCCCAACCAGTCAAGCCACACTTGCATGGGGTTGATGGGAGTTGACATGCGAAGCAACTGGAGGGGACCGAGGCGGGGAAGACTAAGAGAAACAATACGGGGGGGGAGGGGGGCAGAAGGAAGTCCTACGATCCCGAACTGCTCGCGATGAGCGCCCGTCTCACCGCAAGAAGCGTTACCCAGAATACCGCCCGAGCCCACCGCAGCCTGATCCCCTCAGCCCCCCGAGCTCCTCCTGCCCAACGGCAGCCCCTCCTCTCCCGAGGGCTGTTTTGGGTCCCCAACGCCTCCTTCTCTCCCCCCTCCTCCCGCAGCGCATGCCCGCCATACGCCCCCTGCCCTTCCCTCCCGGTGGTCTCACCGAAGCCGAGCAAGCGCCGCACCGCCAATTCCGAAGGTGAGGTTCTTGCTATTGACGGAAGCGACGAGGAACTTCCATTTTCCCCGCCCCTTTGCTTTCTGCCGATAGGCCGCTGTGCGCGGCGCTTGTTGCCATCCCGTATCCCGCCCCGCGATTGGCTGCGCCGGCGTGGTAACGTTCCAGCGCTCTCGCGTCACGTGACGAGACGCTCACGGAGCACGTGTCAATGTTTTGGTGAAGCGGAGGGAGGTGCGCCGCGCAAAAGGGGGCGGGGCTCCAGAGGCGGCGAGGGGCTTCGTCGGGAGAAGCTCCGTGCCGCTGGAGGGAGAGGAAGGACGGCGCAAGGCGTGCTTAGCCGCCGTCAGGGCCGTTCAGTCAAGCAGGGCCGTAGCAAATGGAGGGCGCGCGGGGTTGCGCATCTCTGCCATGATCATTCAGGATCGGATTGCCCGGCCCAGTGGACTCAGTGGCCGGGATTTACTTAGAATAGGATTGGGTTGCTCGAAACATTAAGAGCGCAATCCTAGGCACGGCTACTCGGGAGTGAGACCAGTTGAGTAAACAAGCATTTACTTCCGGGAAAGTGAGCATTAACCTGTGCAGCCGTAGATCAGGCTTGAGGAAGAGGACAAATTTTCCCGAATAAAACGCGCCTCTCTGGAACCTTGAAATCTTTCAATTGGCCAGAATTCGTCCCTCAGAATTCTCCCTAAGCCTAATGGGATCCTGCCCCGTGATTTCTTTCCTTCTGCAGATTTAAACACAGTCAACTTAGATATAAAAATGTCCCCAGGCTTTTTCCAAAGAAAACTGGACAAAGGAAGCAAACTTAGCAGGCAATCTTGCACAAGTTCAGATTCCCAGAATGTCCAAGCCAGCATTGCTGAACCCATTTTTTTCTATCTAAACTTGCATAGAATTGCACCTTAAAGTATGCTGCTTTCCATAGGTAGGCAAAAACTGCGGAACTTCATTAGGTAAACCTTCACCGCACCAGACAGCATCTTTTTTGGGACTGGAAAATCACTCCATATGGCCAATAAATAATAGTTTATAATAAGAAAATTTTACTCATGACAATTTATGCTTTTCTACAATGTTTAACTAAGTTGAAAACATATTTCTTATGAAAGTACAGGCATATTTGAGATGATGGGCTATTTTGCCATCTCCAGATACATCAAAAATTGGCCTGAGATAGTAAGATAGCACCCAAACAAATTTCTGTACAATTTTTACAGTTGTTGGGTGAAGGCTGAGGACAGAGCCTCTGTTAGGAAAAAACAAAGTGGCAAGCCTAACTTTCTAAATTTCCTAAACAATTGTGCAATTGTTTTCACAACAACCCTGTATAATAGGTGAGGCTGAGGGTGAGTGACCAGGCCAAAGGCACACAGTGAGCTTCATTTGTATTTATTTATTATTAAACTTATGTTCCGCTTTATTACACAGTATACTAAATACTGGTTTCTGCAGTCCCGTTTTAGTTCTCCAACCACTGTAATGCACCGGTTTTGCATTGAATCTGCTTAAGAAATAACCTTCATTGTGCAAGATGGTGAGCCAGTATGGTGGTTAAGAGCGGGGGACTGGGACTCAAGCGATCTGGGTTCTAGTCCCTGCTTGGCCATAGAGTCAACTGGGTGACTTTGAGTCTGTCACAGTTTCTCAGCCCAACCTACCTCACAGGGTTGTTGCGGGGATAAGTTTGAGAGCAGGAGGAAGAGAAAGAAGTTGGTTATAAGAAAAAAGCGGGATATAAATGTAATAAATAGATGATCTCAGTAGATCCCCCTGTATAGATGCAGCTATGCCATCTATTTAACTCAAAAACAAAACTTTATCTATGCAATGAAAAAAGTGTAAGCCGCCCCGAGGTTTCGGCAAGGGGCGGCATAGAAATGTTATAATAATAATAATAATAATAATAATAATAATAATAATAATAAAGTGGACTGCTTCCAATAAACTCAGATACATTTGGATTAGATTGCAAATGAATGATTAAGGTGTGTTTAATATTTTATTAAACACCAAGGAGCAGCTTGAACATTGGCTCCATCACAGGGAGATCTTGTGGTGCGCTGAGACAGAAAGAGAAACGGCTCCAAATACACAAGCACCTTCCTCATCAGGGGCTTTTTGCAGTGAGTGACTTTGGCTTGCATTTCATTAATCTTTTTTTCAAACATATAATGGACCTGCCATTTTAATATAGCAATTTAGATAATGGTGATTTACTAAGATCTATATTAGAACTGAGAAGCAGCATGAAATGATCAGCGTGCCCTCCAAGTGGGAGATGTATGCCAACAACAAACACAATCAGCATGCGATTGTGAACAAGCTTCAAGACACGATTGAGCAGGCTATTTAAACACAACCCTTACATACAGTTTCTTTCACAGTCAAGCATCAGTGAAATGCTTTATGAACAACTTCCTTCTTCATATACATCTTTATAGGATGTAGCAGTCATTCTGCGGTAATGAGATCTATGGGCTGCATGAAAAAGCCTATTGATTTTTCCTAAACCTGCTGTTAATCCGTTTTTTGAGAAATGTATTTTTATGTACTTTGAGCACACAAAATGTTTCCCTAATCTACAGCAGCTGTGAAAAAAGCCACTTTCAGCCAAACTCACAGGTACCCCCCCCCCCACCGCCGGTCACAGGATGGAATATGATTTATGGCCCTTTAGTACTTCCCCAGCTGGAAATCCCACCAGCCCAGAAGTCTCACCTCTTGAACTGCTGCCATGGATGCAAAGGTCACCTGATGGGGGATCCTTTATGAACTCGTCATGCCCCAGGGACCAATAGGAAGAAGTATTAGGATACGTAAGTTTAAAAACAAAAATGAGAATCTTAGAAACATAGACACAGAGTGAGTCAGAAGGAGTCTCCTGGGCCATCTAGTCTGACCCATGGCTCCAGCCAGCTCCGCTCATGACATGCCTACAAAGGGCTTGAATGAGCTGCCACCCCCTTCTTGAGTGCTAACATTATTTGCACCTTTGGATATATGTGACAGCAAGATCAGCTGGGGGAAGCCATGGCCACTTGGGCACTTTTGGAGCAGCCGGCGCTTGCGGGCAAGAGGGCATGCTTGGCAAGGGTGCTAAAAGGATTTTGGCATACTTGCAAAGCAAATCAGTGGCTGATTTCTTGCACCAATGACAGGGTCCGTTGCCTGGGTTTGAATGATGCAACAACCTATTGTGCATACAACGACCTCTACAACAAGCCATGGGTTGTGAGGGTAGCTTGTTGCCCTCAGAGAAGCCACCCTGCAAGAATTGGTCTGAGTTTTCATAATAGGACAGGTACCTGTACATGGTCATGCAGATCCTGTAGCAGTTTCTTACTTTCCTGCAGCAGTGCTGCAATTTAAACAGATTCCACAACAGTATTTTTGTAATTTAGAAATAAATTATCAAATGGTGGAACATTTTGCAAAAAAACGAGGACATGGCTAGGCCTGTCTTAGACATGCATCAGTCAGCCCAAAGCTCTATCATGCAGTGGTTTTCATGGGCATATTTCCCAATCAAATGCTCTTTAAGGGATTTTAAAAGAATTTGTCTGTAGTTTTTTCCTGTTTTCCTTATATGAGACAACCCCAGGCCAGATAAGTTTAAATAAGGTTTCAAAGTGTATTTTGTACTGGCCAGTACAAAGTGTACTGGCTAAACTTAGGCTTTGTGGTAAGAGCCTAAGCTGAGTCAGGTAGAAATGCTGGTCTGCCTTTGATTTTAGGAGTTGTGTGACATGTTGGATGAGCAAACCGACCACTGAAGGCCTTTAGGTGAACCAAGTCTTCTCTCTTGGCAGGACTGCCTGCTGAAGAGGTTGGGACATTTAGTTCAGGCAGGTCTCTCAAGGGGCGTGTGATCCTCTCGACTAAACCCCACATTGCTTGAACCAGCGATGGTTTCTTCCTTCACAGCAAAGGCCCTTTGTTATCAGAGCGTTCCAAACAGTTGCCATGCATCCTGAGAGCCTGTAGTTGGAAGAGAGCTGTTCTTTGGAGGTATTTGATTTTTACAGGCAGAGTGTTCTTGTAGCTGTTTAATATTTTAATAACCTTCTTCTCCAGTACTATCTCCCTTTGTTGAATTGTTTGTTCTCTGTTCCCTTTTCCAGAATTTACTCCCACCTACTTGAGTATGTTTAAAGAGTGTGTGACCATGAGCAAAA